TTGTTGCAGATACTCCCCCTGTAACCCGCGAAAATTTGCATAAAACTGTAATTTTTCATTGTTTTTTCGGGTTTGCGCGCGATCTAGGCGTCTCACCAACTTCAGCGCGGCGTCAAAAGATGCGGAATTAAATTCTTCGTCGGGTGGTAGTAGTTTGTTGCAGATACTCCCCCCGTAACCCGCGAAAATTTGCATAAAACTGTAATTTTTCATTGTTTTTTCGGGTTTGCGCGCGATCTAGGCGTCTCACCAACTTCAGCGCGGCGTCAAAAGATGCGGAATTAAATTCTTCGTCGGGTGGTAGTAGTTTGTTGCAGATACTCCCGGTGTAACCCGCGAAAATTTGCATAAAACTGTAATTTTTCATTGTTTTTTCGGGTTTGCGCGCGATCTAGGCATCTCACCAACTTCAGCGCGGCGTCAAAAGATGCGGAATTAAATTCTTCGTCGGGTGGTAGTAGTTTGTTGCAGATACTTCCCCCGTAACCCGCGAAAATTTGCATAAAACTGTAATTTTTCATTGTTTTTTCGGGTTTGCGCGCGATCTAGGCGTCTCACCAACTTCAGCGCGGCGTCAAAAGATGCGGAATTAAATTCTTCGTCGGGTGGTAGTAGTTTGTTGCAGATACTCTCCCCGTAACCCGCGAAAATTTGCATAAAACTGTAATTTTTTGTTGTTTTTCGGGTTTGCTTGCGATCTAGGCGTCTCACCAATTTCAGCGCGACGTCAAAGGATGCGGAATTAAATTCTCCGTCGGGTGGTAGTAGTTTGTTGCAGATATTGTGAGTTGTGTGTATACGCACTGGTACTCGTTGCGCTAAGAATTGTAGTTTTTATGTTATAATACGCGAACGCGGTGTCACAATTAGGTTGAAATAATTTTCCCAGGTGCAGAAATTAATTCTATATCTCCCTGTATTGAAATTTATGGCAAGAAAATTCCGTGACGCAAGTTATATTGAAAGTTGTGTGTGTGTACCGTAGTACTCGTTGCGCTAGGAGTTGTAGTTTTTTTAGTATACCATATAATTCTGGATTTTAGGATATATTGTTAATGTGAATAAGAGAGTACGTTCAGAAAATAAAATCTTTCTATTGTATCTGTATCCACAACATGAATTATTTATACTCCTTTTTCTTAATGCTCTGTGAAAAATGAGCATAATTATATTGTTTTGGGGCGATTTTCTTTTTCAAGTGAAGATTTTCTTTTGACAACACCCAGTATATAAATTTTACTTTATGCGCAGCCAAAAATTGACAATCTTTATTATTTGGGGTGATTTTCTTTTTGAATTGAAAATTTTCTTTTGGTATCACCCTGTATATAATTTTCCACTGATGTCACGCGAAAACAGGGCGCAATTTGCTTTTTTCCAGTGTTATCTTTGGTAATTTTGCAACCGTTAGCATAGCAAGTTTTAAAATGACGTCACGTGTTTTGTAGGTATAGAAATTGCAAATTCTAAAGTTATATTGTTTTTAGTTTGTTAATAAAGAAATGTTAAAGGCAATGGCTGTGTCTTATGACTTGTGCATCCCTCCTTTCTATCATTTCAGGAACAGGTCTCTACGAGAGTTCCCTCTCTCAGGGGATGATCCCCACTATAAAAATTGTTAAGGTATCCTGTGTGATTTGTGTGTTCCTTCTTTCATTTCAGGTACAGGCAAGAACTTGTAAGAATATTTTTAAGTGTCCCCTCTCGTGAGGCGACTTAAAAATGAGAAATATTTTTACAAATTCTTAAAAGGATGTCCTTATAAGGAGTTCCCTCTCTCTGGGGATGATCCCCCACCATAAAAATTGTTGATATGCCTGATAATTCCGGGGATGAAGCGCAGAGACATCGTAGCTGTAGGATGGGCCGGGAGCAATGGACGCATCGAACCAGTGGGCGATCGACCAGAGCGCCGGAGGCGCTCTGGGAGATCGACCTGTGACTGTCTTATAACGACACGTGCCAAAGAATTTAAAAATTCTGTCACCCCTATTCTCTTTTCTTCCTGTACTCTCTCTTCTTTTCTTCTCTTCTTACTTCTCCTGCTGCTGCTCTCTACATGCTCCTCCACCATCTTCTACTTATTCTTATTGTTGCTTCGCCGTACTCTGCTTTTCAAGTTATTTCTAACATTTGAATCTTGAATTTTTGTGGTATGCAACCCACATTTCGTAAATTTCTTATTATTTAATAAAATTGCCTTCTACAACTGAGATTCGATCCTCGAACCTCCAGCATGCTAGCATATGCACATGCCACCTGAGCCATAACGCTCACTTATCAAGACATATTCGGTCAAAGTATAAATGTTATTGTATTTCTCACCTTTTTAAAAACAACAACACTGTATAGCCTTCATACAAACACCATCATACAAAAATAACTTTTATATATATTTCTGGAAACGATAAAGAGAATACAAAAATAAATATTCTTGATAGTATTATGTCAACTATTATTTTATTTCAATAAAAATGCAAATCAAAATATAATAAATTTGAAAAGTATTAAGTGAAATTAAATTATGATTTCAACGTATTACCTTATTTCACTTTATTTATTTATAGACCAAGAGCCAGTGACGGCCAGACTTTCGTCATTTTAGGAAAGATGAAATTTTGTCCATGTGTTTCTCCAGCACAGGTAAGAACGATCCCCAATTATGAAACCTGGATCGTGGTTCCTTTGGCAGTTAACAGCCAACAAAGATGTACACATGATGACCTATGTTTCGTTATTTTAGCAAACTCCATTTTTGCATATTTTGTTTGTCACATTATTATAACATGCGCTGCTCAATGCCAGTCACCTGGTATGGTTCCAACCTTAGCCAGACACCCCTAAAGTATATTATATTTTAACTTTTTTTACTTTCTAACAAATCATGACGTAATAAATCCAATGGAAATTCAATATCACCGGAAGATATCCGACAGAAAACACGCGCGCACCAAAATCTTAATCCTGAGTTTTACGCGCAATAATTATCACATTATCCCGTAATTACCACACGCCGTCGACGATCGACCGAATGTAAAGCAAGCACCGAATGTCGGCACCGAATGCCACGAATGTCGACTGACGAATAAAACACGTGCGCATCGCGCAACAACGCACGACCCACTAAGTAGGGAAGAGAGTTGAGACTGTTGAGAGACAAGATGAACAAAGCAAATAGTAAACAAACAAAAAGTTCAGTATCGCGGCTGCCTAGAACTACTCACAAAAATTATTTTGCAACCTAAGAAAATTTTAACATAAATTTAATAAATTATTTGAAACAAAAGGAACACACTGACAAGATTATTGTCAGTCTGGAATAAGTACTTACAATATTCAGCTGCTAGATGCCTAAAACAAACAAAAATCAGCACCAGCAAAACACTAAAATGGCGTTTTTGTGGCTTTCCCGTAAGTTTCTCGGAAAAGTTGTAAATGAAAATTGTAAAGAATTTTAATACCTACAATATGACGTCAAAATTAAGATGCTGTGACAACGGGTTCAGCTGCTAGACACCTAAAACCAACAAAAATCAGCATCAGCAAACCACTAAAATGGCGTTTTTGTGGCCTTCCCGTGAGTTTTTCGGAAAAGTTGTATATGAAAATTGTAAAGAATTTTAATACCTACAATATGACCTCAAAATGAATTCGCTGTGATAACGGGTTCAGCTGCTAGACGCCTAAAACAAACAAAAATCAGCACCAGCAAACCACTAAAATGGCGTTTTTGTGGCTTTCCCGTGAGTTTTTCGGAAAAGTTGTATATGAAAATTATAAAGAATTTTAATACCTACAATATGACCTCAAAATGAATGCGCTGTGACAACGGGTTCAGCTGCTAGACGCCTAAAACAAACAAAAATCAGCACCAGCAAACCACTAAAATGGCATTTTTGTGGCTTTCCCATGAGTTTTTCGGAAAAGTTGTATATGAAAATTGTAAAGAATTTTAATACCTACAATATGACTTCAAAATTAGTAGAATAAACTTTACTCACTGTATTTCCATTGTACCAGTTACCCTCATGCCACAGGAAGAACAAGCCTAGCTTATTTTCATATCTGAGCAATTAAATAAATGAATTAATAAGTCTAACAGGAATTCTTAGCCACAAGAAGATATCCGACGGAAGTCTACCCAGGGAATGTTTGGGCGCACCGAATAAAGTCACTCAATTCTTGGTTTCACGCGCGATAAATCTTTGGTTCTACGTTGCACTCGTTTATTATTAGAAAATACCGTCTGCGGTCGACCGATCATATTGTAACTAAAAAATTAAAATTGAAATAACCACGAAATGATGCAAACACGTGCACCCCGCACGAAATCGCGCGACAGACTAAACAAAATAAGATTTGCCAGCCAATGTAAACAAACCAAATAAAATAAAACCTTGAATATGCATCGATATGAATGATAAAGACTTTCAACACTTACAATTTGAGGTATCCCAAGACTGCAAGGAGCGCACGTTCAATTGTTAGAAACTAAAATCTGTGAAGATCACAGTAAAATTATATTTTTGTCGGATCGTGCTGAATAATTCGAAAACAAAAACGTATCGAAAATCATAAAAAAATTAAATATTCCTAAATCTTAGTTAAATTCGCCAGTTATTACTAAATTTAAACAAATAAAATCTTTAATTTTGCTATCGATTTAAAATTTCTATCGCCTGGCGCCATCTACTTGTGAGCGCGCCAACTAGTAATTTGTTCGAACAAAATTACAGTTTTCTACACTTTGCAGTGCCGATCAAACAGCTGACTGACTTCTATTTACATCACACAATTATTTGTTTCAAAAAACTGAACAAGTTTCAGCGAAAAATCGACAAAATACAAAGAAAATAGCAACTCTTCTGTTATGAAAATTAGGTCACACAAGTCGGAAATATGGATAAAGTTCAATTTCCGCAATTGTTATAAAAAAGTGAACAGAAATTGATCAACTGTAGCAAGCTAAATCAAGTAAATTTGCTTTAACAATTGCGTGATTACTAGTTTGTACTTTTATATTTTCACATTCTCAATGAAATATACTAATTAACAGTTTCATATGATAAAATTGCTATCATAATTAGTAGATATTTCATTCATTCGTAATAGTTCGTTATTATCTCGTTCGTGGAGCTAATAATTACAACTATGTATGAAAAATGGGTTGGTTCCGGCAACAGATATAAATTAAGTCAGAAAACCTTTGCGAAACTCACCACTTTTTTGAGAAGAGCGGCAATAAAAGATAGATCACAGCGTGAAACGTCCACTCCCAGCGTATCCCGACGTCGTATAAAAAGTGAATAACGAAAAATATACATGCACACGTCAAAAATCGGAAGTAATCTTACATTACAACATTCTTGAATGCTTTGCTGTTGTGTTTATCATTTGCGTGAGGGGCGCGTCAAAACCTTACTATGCGATTGTTCATCTTTATTGGTAACTAAAGCCCGCACCGCTACCGCCGGTGGAACTGTTTTGCGTATTGCCGAGCGGGCCGTCCTCGAATATGGGCGGCTGTGGTTGGAACTGTTCGGCCGAAAGACGTGTGAATAGGATGCCGACACCTTCAATAAGTGCCAAAAGCACACCGCCGATAAAAGCGCTGCCTGCCATCGCAGATACACCATTACGCGCTGCTAGAATACCGCCGGTTGCTGCCCCGCTGATAATTGAGTTCCACGGATCCTCCTTCTTGCGAATGTGAATAAGTGCGCAGTCGATTGTCGAAAACATGCCTCCCCATACAGCAAAATTTCCTGCTATTATAGGTGATCTTTGTTTTATTGCTGTGATGGAGCCAATCTAAAAACAAACATGTATTAATAAATAAAACATCACCTTATAATCTACTAAACATGTAAATATAGTGAAATAATTGAAGTATACTTACAAATCTTCTGTTAAAACCTGATGGAGCATTCCGGAAGCCTCTGACACTTTGAAAAACACCACCGCCAATCAGCCCCATTGTAAACGCGCCGCCACAATCATCAACAATTCGCCATGGACACGGCTCTCTCGTATATTCCTCCATCGCAAACTCCTGACTTGTGAATTTCTTAAATTTGGATCTTGAATGTGTGCCGAGCGAAGTGCACACCTAACCTACAAACGAACGCAACGATTACATAAAACGTAATTCAAAATGCAGGACAGTTATAATCCAACTTACAATTTAAAGTCGTTCCCTGATGCGTTGTTGTATTGCAATGCTGCTCGTAAACAATTTAAAGCACCAAAATTTGCATCAGTTTTCAGGTTTCGTTTCGGGACCAGGATGACACACGGTCATGTCAACGACGGGAAAGAACGAGGCGATAGCAGAGCGTCACAGTGACATTGAAAATTTACATTTACTAGATACCGAACGAAATGATAGCTGAACTGATGTCAAGCCATCTCAGTAATTTCGAATGTCGCAAAGACAATTAGCCTAAGAGTGTAATAGTTTATTTATCTAATTATCTAGTTGTAAGGAAGAGAAAAACAAGTGAAACAAGACAAGTTTAAACTGCGCAGTGATTCAAATTCAAAATGGTGGACGTGCAACGCGGGAGATTTGAAACGTCGCAGAATATGGCGTACAAAAATGTGGTGTAAAAATAACCGCGGAACGTGAATCGGAGGCGTCGCGACGTCCAACGACGTGAACGACTTATAAATAACTGCACGAGTGCAAGCCGGAACACTTTCAGTTCCAGGTTTGGTGCTGTGCGCGTAATTTATCGAGAAAATGGCGACGAAAAACGAAGAAATTAAGGTAATTGCTTAAAAAAACTTTAAAATTACAAAATATCATGTAACAAAACTTTCAGGGTGCTGAAGTAGTTGCCATGGATCCAGTAAAAAAGGAACTACAGGTAAAATCAACCCATTTTTAATAATATTTGGGCAAAAATGTTAAAATATTTTGTATTCAGGCAAAAAATGAAGAATGCGAAGCGCTGAAAGCAAAACTAGCTCGAATGGAGCTGGATTTATTAGAAGCGCGCATGAAATCGACGCAAAACCAGTCGGAAGTTGACGAAATCCACAAAATGAAGGAGATTTCCGAAGAGTTGCTCACCAAAGCAAAGAGCATCATCTTTGAAAAAGTAAAAACATGCAAGAATCAAGAACTGCAGATCGAAGCACTGAACGCACAAGTCACATCGCTGAAGGACGTGGTTTCCATCACCAAGAACCTGCTTGAGATTCGCAACCTTGAAGTGACCCACTTGCAGGATCAGATCAACGCCATGAACGGAAAAATCGAATGCGAAAAAGAGCGACAGGAATTGGTACACAAGAAGTTAGAGAAAATGATCCGCATGAACGCAGATTTAAAACGTGAATACGAAACGCAATTGGTGCTTTTTAATGCACTTAGAGATAGATATCAAGAGCGAGAGTTGGCTAAGAACCTTATCGAAGAAGCAAATGTTATTATTAAAGCAGCATCGGATGTTTCAACCGAAGAATCGCCCGACAGTCCGGACGGACCAAAAAGCATGGCTGTTTCCAACTGTACGACTGATACTGTTAGTGTTGTCAGTCAAGAGAGCACTGAATCGCAAGCTGAATCGAAAACATCTTGAGTTTTACGGCAATAAATCGGAGATTGATACTAATTTATGTGAGATTTTAACTTTTTGCAAATTTTGTAACGATTTTTAACTAGCGCATGTTTTAAACTGTTAAAATATAAGTGTTTTATGTAAAAGATATAAGCAATTGCAAATATGTTACCAGTTTATCAAAAATAAATCAAGAAACTACTTAAAAACGTAATTATCATTCAATTAAAATGAAAAAAAGTAACTAAATGCAGTGTAAGAAATGTGTAAGTGTTGAAAATATCACCAGTTTATTCAATAAGACAGAACTATGAATTCATTTTAAGAAATATGAAAATGCAAGTCGCCGAACAACCGCTACCTAATTTAAAAATTGATATAAAGTTAGGCAATAGTAGACTTCAACAAGTTTCGTAACATTATGTGCTAGTAGTTGGTAGAAAAGTGTTTTTACGAACTTCGAAACGCAATGAAATGTTTGATAAATTATGTACAGCATAGTTTAACAGTTTACATTCAAAAATAAGTTTTGATCGCTTTTATTTCGTTCGTGTCTACAAAAGAAATGAAACTTAAACGTTAGGTAAAACTCTTTTCGGTGAAGCTTTCGATAATTCGATAATTCAATAGTTTATAGAATACTCTTTAAGATAAGATCAGCGAAAATACACTGACGAGAATGCAAACAAACGCAATTTGTCACAATTTGTGTGGCAAATTGCATTCTTGCATGATTACACAAATAGAAAACAAAACCCTGTGTTATAAACTAACTGTATAGTAACAATATACTTTATAGTTAACGTTTCTTGGTCTTTTAGTTGTAGTAATTTGCTTTGTTCAATTCTACGTTGTCTCTTAGCATATAATATTTACACGTTCCGCTTAAATCTGATTTACGTTAGAGTTTCTTTCAAACATTTCAATCATTTATAAGTATAATAGGTACTAGATGTGTTACGATGTATTTAGCTTACGTTTTTTGTTCAATTTCTTATCGTTTTTGTTTTGATTACTGGTTAGTTTATTTAATATATATATATCATTAAGAATTAATCAACGACTTAATCAGTAGCATTAGATTCAATCTCCTCTCTGCACGTAATTAACCAGTATCTAATTGTAAGTTATTGTTTTTGCTCTCAATAATTGTCACTGTTGCTAGGTTTTAATTATTGTTGGCTACGATTTGAGTTGAGTGGATGAAACTGAATAATAATGGCGATGAACACAATAACAACAAACCAAGCGAATGATATGAATCGTTTTTTTAGATTTTAGGCGTTTTTGTGTTGATGCAGAAATTTATCGCGACAAAGAATGTGTTCAGTGGCAGTGATGGTTGTGTACTTACAGGAAATCGGAAATGTGTATGAAGAATGCGTGACGTAAATGTAAAGGATATGTTTGGCACGACGTCGTCACACTAACACCTCCATCTTGTTCCCTTTGCGCAGCACACGAATCTGTCCCGGCTGCACTTCCGGTAGGCCCATGCATTTGAAGATGAACGTCACGATTTGCGAACCGAAATTTGCCTCAAATCTAATTCACACAATTTAAAAAACACATAATTTATATAAAATGAGGTTATAATAACTTACTCTGTTGTTATGTTGACTTCCGGTGCTTTGGTGACGGCGTTTTGAACGACGAGGAACAACTTGGTAACAATTTCGATGACATGCCCGGTTTGGAACACAAAATCGCCCTTTTTCTTGCTGAGATCGCTCTGAAAGAGACAGCCGGTTGCATCGGAGGCGGCACTGCCCGAATCGGAGTTGGCTATCGCCGACTACAAAAGGATTTGCACACCGCTATAGACAACTACAGGGTCTAGCCTTACACGTTAAAATTTACACAGATTAAACTATATTCTACTTTAGTATTTGTGAAAGATGAAAATCTATCGGATTTTGTGTAAAAATTGCTTTTTATGTACTTACGGCTCGAACATGCACGACTGCAACGTCATCTAAAAATGGCGACAACGACATGCGATAAATCTCGGTGGCAGGTACGCGGTATTTGATTTGCAGCGTGCGCTGATCCAAAATCAGCATCGATCGCGTCGAAATCACCAATAAAACCGGAACAAACTGCAAATTACATCACATTACATACATTTTTAAAATTCTATTTGTTTTTATGTCTGATTGCAACTGTTTGGTGAAATGATTTGATAAAATAACATACCTTTCCGCTGGATCGCGCGATTTTATTGACAATATCAGCGAATACGACGTACTGATCACTGGTTTCGATGCAGATCTTCTTCCATTGCACGTTTTGACGCAGGCGGACATAATCGCCAAGAAATGGGTGCGATACACTAAAATTTATAAAAAATTTATTTAAAAAATCAAATAAAAATGATGAAAATTTTACCTTCTTGCATATGAAGACTTTCTATCTTTAAAAATAAAGCTGGCAGTGACTTTCTCCCGCATGCGATTCCTCGCAGTTTGATCAAACTTGAGCCGATATTTGTGACACCGCCACTTGTGATGGATTTTCCGCAGGAGAGCGTTCGCTTCCGACAGCTTGGGGTGACAGCTCGGCCATTCGCGGCACATTGGCGACTCAACATCATGCGGCAGTAATACAATCAACGTTTGCAGAAACTGCCGACGCTTCCACTGAATATACCGGCGTTGAATTATTTTCGCCGCCCATTCTGTCTGTTTACGGTGTTTGAGGATACGAAACTCTTCCCGGGCCTAAACAAACAAGATACAATCACAATCAATGATAATAAACTTAATAAAACATGAATTACAAGCCTAAAAGGTTGAAAGCTTTGTAATAAAAACAATTTAAACAAATTATTGCGATTTATAATGGTTTGAGTGGGTAATTATGAACAGTTACCACACGATAAAGGCACCAGAGATGTCTGTGACTTTGAAAAGGAAAGCCCATTTTGAATTCCTAACATAAAACACGAATTTTTTAAAATAAACCAAAAAAATCATTAGAAAACTAAATTTTTATATTAAAAATTACTCACTCTCCAACTTCTCCACGCCGAGGCGATTATCATCTGACTATGGCGCATCTTTTTGTACCGATTTCGAGCTGTGAAACCACGCCATGACTTCTGGATGAGCAGAGCCAAGTCATGAAGACGTGCACGACGAAAATCTTCAAGTTCAAACACAGTTCGTGGACTCCGAACGAAAATCTTCGTTCTCCCAAAAGTAAATTCAGCGCTAGGTATGGGAATTGATCGGAGAGCCATGGAGACGCCTTCGATTGGTGAACCTCGCCATCGGGGCCATGTGCTCGCGCAGAGCATTTTGTATCGACAGAGGAATTGCGGATATGGTAGGCGATAACAATAACCGGAGCGCCATATTTGTACCGTTGGCAATAAACATAAATATCGGACCTAAACAGATTTGAAAATAAAATTTGTTAGTGAAATGTAAAAAGGTTTTAATTATTTTGTTTTACCTGATGTTGTACTAATGCCATTTCAAAAATGCGCGGTTGCTTGAGCTCGTTGGGCTTGAGGCAGCGAATGTAGTGCGGCTGGCGCGTCGCCAGCGACTTGAGCAGGGCGTTCAAGGACACTTGCAGCTGCGTGGCGACTGACGCCGGCTTCTTCACCGTGCACCGCTTGGGATTACCCTCTGGGAAGAGCGCGTGCATCAGCGGATGATCGCAGCGGTACATCGCCCGTGACAATTCCTTCGGCAGCGATTCGTGGTTCTTTTCGACGAAGCCACGCACATCGTATGTGACTGGACCGGCAAAATGTCGAATTCTGCAATGAAATACACAATATTTTCCATTATTTTCTGTTTGTTTTTGTTTTAAAATAAAAACTTACTGAAAATGAAAAGATGGCAGTGACGGATCGGCAGCTAGACAATGCGAATGGCCGGCGCAGCATTGCTCGACGCGCGTCAAATATGTTTGGTCGCAATGCACGTGCAGCTCGTCGAGCAGCGTCAGCACGCCGTGCTTCTCGTGCTCTAATAATTGACAAATTCCACTGAAACACACACAAAACAATTAAAATTCCACATTTTTTAACGTAATTCCTCAAAAAACTTACATATTGTTAAAATATTCTATTTTAGTCCACTCCAATCCCTCCCGTGCAAGTTCCTCCTGCTCCTCCTTGAGCGCAATCGCCGTTATCACCTGGTGCAGCTTCTCATTACAGTAGTTAATCATCAACTGCTCGAAGCCGTTCTTATCGAAGCACTCAAACCCGTACAAATCAAGCACCCCGAGCATTTTCCGCTTGCCGAGGTGTCTTGGTTTGATGATTTCGTTGATTTTACCAATTAGCCATGTAAACAGCCGACTGTAGAGCATCTTACACAAGGTGTCGCGTATTTTCGTCGCTTCGCACGCGTTCAACTCGGCGAGGATGCCATCCTCGACATGTCGACTTGTTAACGCACGCTGAAGCCATCGATGTTCGGCGCCCAACAGTTCGCATATTTCGTATAACTCTAAAAATTGTTTAAATTTTATAAATTTTGTGTTTTTTTATGTGTAATTTGAGGTTAGAATTACCGTAATCGTTATTGATGGAACACCCCTCGGTCCCGTCAATGTTATTGCAAGGCACAAACTCCAAATTACCTAACTTTAATACAACAGCGATGATTCGAAAAATATTAACAACTTCCTCGACGGCGAAGCCCAGCGCGTCGAACGCGGACCGCGTATAGACGAAGAGATTCTTGTCTTCATCTTCGGTCTGCGTCGGCAGGCGATTGCTCATGTAGAGGATTCTATAGTGTTCTACGTTACGTTGTAACTTTAAACCTTCTGCAAATCATTTAAAAACAATATTTTATACAAAAAATTCATCAAACAACCAAAATATTGCACTTACTTAACAAATGAATATCTGCTCCGGATAAGAGCTGATAAAATATATGAAAGTTTCGATCGCCACATGATAAACTTGTGATTCTTGTCTAAAAAACAACGAAAAGCATTAAAATAACATCAAAATAAACATTTGAAGGTTAAATTTCCGCCATTACCTTATCCAACAAATCTGTTAGCATGAAAATTGATTGTAAAATGTTAAAATAACCTCAAAATTACAAACATAACCTTAGTTTAGTACTTACAATGCATCAAGTGTCCTCCAATGGGATCTCCTTTGAAATCAAACTCAATATCCAAGAATTTACCCTTAAAATTAATGAAAATTAGTTTATATTTAGTGATTTTAGTGTAAAACCTTACAAATCTGGATGCATTGTCATTCCTTTTAGTCTTTGCATTGCCAAAAGTCTCCAGCAACGTGTTGGCCTGCACCAGGCGGTCCTTGAGCACTTTCACCTCCGGACTGCAACTGCTGACAAGCACCAGAAACTGCAGCACAACCCTCGCCGCCTCCGTCTTGCCAGCACCACTCTCGCCAGTGACAATGATGCATTGATCCTCATTGCGATCGTTTAACCATCGATATGAAGATGCGGCAACTGCATAACTAAAATTAATTGAGATGTTAGTAAATAATTTGTGATGAAATGAATTGAATTGGTTTTACATGTGAGGTGGAAGCTGAAAAGGTCCTTTCTTGATGTAGGCCTCGGCGAGGTCGGCGGAGTAGAGCGCCAACTTCTTGTACGGATTCACGGATATGAGCACGTTGCCGATGTACGTGTAGATGTGATCGCGCTTGAAGCGCTGCTGCAGGTTGGCGACGAAGGCGTCCTCGCCGAGTGGCTCCAGCAGCACGGCATCCCAGGCGCCCACCTCCTGCTCAAGCATCGCGCCGCGCCGCGCCGGAGTGCTGCCGCCGCTGCTGCGGCATCTAATCCCGCCGAAACGCGCTATCCCGCCGCCGCGCACATCGCACCCACGGCACACACTAATTAACGCGACCGCCGGCGGGGTTGTTCCAGTGTGGCGCGCCGTGTGCCATTTATTAGTCTCCAGCGGACACTGCGCGCTTTCTTTGACACTACGCTGACAAGCGGTCAAAACTGAGGACACTGAGGGGCGCAGGTGGTGGGATGAACGAAACGAAAGGAACAAGGGATGAAAAGTGAAAACTAGCTGCGGGGGGTTGCAAAATGTTGCGTGAAATTGCCGCGGGGGTTCATTTGGCGCTGCACGCACTCTGCGTTTACACCACATCAAATTTTCCAATGAAACAAAACAGAAAACAACTTACAAACACGTTAATAACTAGTCAATACTCACGAATTCTCTTATAAACCATGTTTGTTTATAATATTTACTTTGTTTTTGTTTTGTTTAACGTTTTTAAATTTAAAAACAAAGTGTAAACGCAGAACAACACTTTTGTGCGCTGTTGTGCCAAATATACACTGAGCTTCAATTATTAATTGAATGACAAATGAACATGTTCAATTTTAATTCGATGTGCGTGTTTACAGCTCACACGTCGTATAAACAATGATGAGATGCGTGAATTATTTATTGTTCAATTTGACTATGCAACCGAATATACAGCAATACCAGATGGTTATGTGTTCATACATAGTTATTATTAAACAAAACACAGCAACAGTTAGTTTTAATAATAAATAAAACTCAACACAATGAAGGAAGCAGCTGTAAGTCTTTTAAAAAGAGCTGTAGAGTTAGATCAAGCTAAAAGATTCACAGAAGCTCTGTTATTATATCAAGAAGGCATTCAGATGCTTCTTCAACTCAGAAAATGTAAGTTAAAACACAAATTAAGACATATCCCAAGTAATTTTATATGATTTTAGCTGAGAGTAAGGACAGAGCTGATTATTACCTTAAGAAAATCGAAGAGTACATGTCCAGAGCTGAAACAATCAAGAAAACAGTGGAAGAACTCAAACAACAAGGCAAATATCATGAACAAATGAGCATCAAAAGTGACAGCATAGGTCATTCCTATACAAAAATCTTCAGTAGATTTCTTGATTCAGATGTAACACATGTAACCATTGAGGATCCTTATATTAGAGCATTTCATCAAGTGCAGAATCTGATTAAATTCTCAGAAATGTTGATTAAACATTGTAGTAACTTGAAAAGAATTAAACTGATTACTACACAAAGTGACAGTGAAAGTGAGCAGCATGGACATCTAAATAACATGAAAAAAGATCTGAAGGATAATTTTAGCATAGAACTTTTAATTGAATTCTCACCAACACTGCATGATAGACAAATTAGTTTAAGTACTGGCTGGATAATCAAAATTGGCAGAGGATTGGATTATTTTAAAGCTCCAAGGAGTAAAAACTGCATTGGGACTTATGATTTAGACTTAAGACCTTGTCATGAAACAACTGTGGACATATTTCATTCTAATAATGTTGTTCAGAAGTGATTTTTAGTGAAAATTATGCGTTTTTGTGTAAATATGTATGTTTATGGTAGGCAACCAAATATACTTCTATTTTGATCATTACTTTCTTATTTTTTATGTATTTAAGGGAAAAATTGATGCATTTTAATAGTTTATTATATTATTACACAATCTAAGTCAATATTAAGTAGATTTGGCTTCAATTATACATACAATTACATTCCATTAAGTTTAAAACTATTTAAAACAAAATGGTGGCACATTTTTGACAGAATCACACAAAACATCGTCATATACATAAATTAGTAACGAAATTAAAGTATTTTCATCATAGAATAAATAATAGAAGTAAAAATAATATAACACGACATAAAATTCATAAAATAAATAAGATGTGTGCAGTTGTTATCATAAAACAACAGCAAAAACCTTAAAATTACTTTGGATACAAAGTAATACAAGTTTTGAAGGCGGCCATCTTGTTACACTGCAGTATTAGTAGAAATATTGAGTAAAAATCAAACCAAACTCTCGTTTTGAGCCGCGTAGGCTTTAAAAGAGTCCAAAAGCTTCGGCTCGATGAGTTCCTGCGCGTCTTCTTCAGTCATCACACTCGCACCACACATTTCGGTTATTTTACGTAACGTAGCCTGAAACAAACAAAAAAATCAATATTCCGTTGAATTATTTCTAAAAATTCATCACTTACGAGTGCCGCAACCAAAATAGCATTATTATCATATCTTTCCGGTTTCTCTTTGCACAGCTGCACGAGTTTGTCAACTCCACCCGCTTCAACAACTTGTTCCGCTGCGTCCCTCTCGGTACACAAGCGTGACAAACCGATAACGGCCCTCTGCCTCAATCTAACCATCACGTTTTCATCCGCGAAACGCGTTTGCAGAAAGCAAATCAACGCCACTGGCGCGCAGATATCACAAAGCGCCATCCTGGCTTCCGGAACAGCCGCCATTGTTGCAATCAACGTCGCAACTTGTTCCAAGATATAAATCGATGCATTACCGTGTCGTTTAACAATATCCAGCAATAAACCAACTGTACCTTGATGTAACAAGTATTTAATTGCTTTGGTATCCATCGCGACCAAATTCGCCAATGCGGCTGTGACTAGCAAGATATTCTGACAGCAATTTGTGTCCTCTAAATATCTCGTCAGATACTTAACCATTCTTCTGCTATATTGATGCAGACCTTGTATATGATGATTGTCTTCAATCCAAGGCGCTGTTATCTGTGCAAGTAATGCAATCGCTTCAATGCGTTCAGGATCTGGCTTTGATTGATCACAGATAACATCCGAGATTGTACAAAGACCACTCACTGATTCTAATTTTCGAATGCTGTTTGCGTTTATACAGAGTGTTGTCAATGCACGCAGACCTAATCCACGCACTGATGAACCTTCGCATTTATCTATAATAGCTGTAATTGTTTGGATAGCACCATGATGGATAAACAGGGGAATAAGTTCATCATTTCGTAGAGTTAAACTTGTAAGCGCTGTGAGTCTACAACGAACATCCATTTCACATTTGGGATCAGACATCGCCTCAACAAACAGTTCAACGTGTTTGTTCAGCGCGGATTTATGCAACTCAATGTACAGCTTATGAAGTTTAGAGAGGTTAAGTGTGTTGTTGATATCCGAAGATGATTCCAGTAATTGTTTGATGTTTAGTTTATGATTATTAGTGTTGTTTTGAAGTAATTCAAGATAATCGTGAATCAAAGGTAACAAACGAGATGGCGCTTCGTTCTGTGAAGATTTATTACTGTAAATAAAAGTTTTAGGTATTTAGTTTTACTTCATAAAAATTAACTGAAATTATATTATACTTACTTTTTGTAGTAATCAAAGAATTCTACGATGTCTGCATTGATTTGGATGATGTTTCTCAAGACGGATGAAGTCTTGACAGCTTGATTATTAACTTGAGTGTTTAATTCCGCTGCGATGGATTTACACTGCAATGTTGTCATACATTCCGGTTCATAATTATGTTTTTGTTGGCGAATCCAACAATCCAGAGCGGATCTTTCTTCGATTGTCTCAAGAGACAACTTCTGAGGCCTGTATTAAACAAATATTTAGTTAAAAAAATCATTTTTAAACATGATTAATCAATATTTACTTGTTTCCAGCTTCCTGTTGGTATTTCTGCAGTAAATTCTGTGCGTGAATCCTTCCTAGGCGGTGCACAGATGATTTCTGCATCAATTTCGGTGTTGAAGTATGTTTAGGTGATTTTATTTTAAAATAACTCTCCATTTCACCTTCGCTGTCTTCAAAATCTAAGATTTTTCCATTATTCTCTTCATTTTCTTGATTTTTATCGAAAGAAGTTGATTTATCTTGTTCCTGTTGGTAGATAAATGCTGGCGCTGATAAATTCGGTGGATAATTGTCTACTTTCCTGCTGACCATCGGCAGGGTTCGATTACAACTGACTTCCTCGTCCGAGTAGTCAAACTCTTCGCTTTCGTTGAAACACGCATTCGAATTCAACTCCTGCACTTGCACTTCCACATGCGGTGCATACTGATTTCCAACTTGAACATCTTCAACATCATTGCTTTGGTTGTTATTATCATCGTTTGTATTCAGTTTCACACTCCTGAACAGATTCCTGCTTACTTTATTATTCCCGTCTTGTAGTTTTACATAAAGTCGATGATTGGGCTCTGTTTTCACATCTCTGAGTTTATCTAAGTTTCTATTCGGTGTATTCGGTAGATAATACACTTTTCCGGGTGTGATTAATCCTTGTAGCAGAATACTTTTTGATGGAGTTGATTTTTCGATGATTTCCGATGTTAAATTTGTTTTTTGGGTTGTATTGTCACTTTTTGCCAAAGCATGCGGGATTTTTTTCTCGGGAGTTTTAGGTTTTTCTAATTGTTGACGGATGTTGGGTGAAGTTTCCGTGTCGGAAAAACCGGAATCTTGACTGCCGGGGCTTTCGGAGAACGCACGGAAACTGAGCGCTTCTTCTGCCCACCAGACTTTACTCGGTGATCGATGAAATTCACCCATTATTATTCCTTTAATCTGTAACTAAAAATAAAAATTATAAATCATAATGCACTTGACTTCAGACTAACTGCATTAGGAAATTAAGATAACTTAAGGTTAATGACTTCTTATTAAGTATTAAAACCAGATGTAAAGTAATCGATTTGATTTTGTATGCTAAACTAAACTACGCTTCTAAAAATTGGTGTTTTCGATTGTTACATTTATGTAATGTTCCATTGACAAAACAGTTAGAGTTAGAGCGTTGTGAAGGCTTGACCAAGTCCACGATAATTGAATTTCGTTGTTAAGTGTGCTTTTCGATTGATTGCTAATTGAAAGCAGTGTTTGCTTTGACATGTTGACATCGTGCTCTAAACTGCGGAAGCGCAAATTGTCAAGCAGAAGCGGTTTGAATGGCTGTTTGCCGTTTTTTTGTTATTAACACGACCATCGCAAATTGCACGAGTGCGAATAAACATGTTTTCGATTAAGGTCACACGAGCATAGAAATAGAACAGAGTAATTTGCATGTAATTTGTTATTTTTTACAATTACAGCGTATTTTTAGGTTAACAATCGTAGCTATTTATAGGAATGATTATATAACAAGTTATGCAACCAATTGAACATATTGCTTTCGATTCCAGCAATAAAATTCGCAATTTTAGTTTAATGGAAGATAAATGCTAATAATGCACTTCAGCGCCCTCTAGGATTCAATTATTTAACTAAAACTATGATTAAATCTCTATATATAAACTTTTATCCCTTATTTAACACCCTCTAAAGCATAATTTTTGATATTTTAATAATTATTCTTCTATTTTTGGAGGAGAAGAATCAAAAAAATCATAGATCATCAAAATCTGTCAAGTCGTTCTTGAGTTATAACTGTTGTAACTAACACAACTTCATTTTCTATATAAATTTCGTATTTTTACAAGAAAAAATTATTTTTCTTCATTTTTACACAAGAAACAACGATTTTCTAAACACCAGATGTTATAAACATCATAAAATGACCATAAATATTCATAAAATTATATTGCCTACCACTTCACACCCATAATTGCCACAATAATTCACCAAAATCATAATTTCTACCTGAGACACCGGGTGTACGGATATTTCACCCCCAGGTGGCATAAAATGTAAACCAACCCAGCTGGAGATGACTTTGCAGACAGACCGGCGCTACACCTTTACAACTTTTAGACTTAACACTTAAATCTCCAAACAGATGTTAATGTTAGTAGTAATGTTACACTTGAAAAATACTTGAAATACTTTATATTAGTTATAAACTTCGAAGTGGTTTAATTATGTCTTCGAGTGACTCTTGAAAATCTCGTAAAACTCTTCAGAATATCGTAAAAGTCTTGAAATTGTTGTAAAACTCTTGACGTTTTATATTATATTACAAGTAATAGAAGTAACTAACTTTCCTAAGAGATTGAAACCAACGCGTACAATTGAAAACTATTTTTGAGTAGTTGAAGCACCTGGATCAACAGAACTTCTTTTAAATAAAGATGTAAATATTCATTTTAATCTAAATTCATGTGACTAGTATCCAAGTTTCTATCAGAAAGTAACTTTAACTGTAGAATATGTGAGTGTACAGCTGTTTCAACAAACAAGATTTCAATAAGCTCATTTTGTCACAACCTACTACCTTACAGTTACAATAAGGAGATCGTTATCGATTTAATTCAATTTCATTTGTAAGATTTCAGTAAAGTACATTTTAAGATTAAGTTTTCACGGGAATACACAAGATAGGCAACTTTATTAACATAAAAATTGTAAATTTGCATGTATTATAGTTGTTTTTACAATTTCTGCTTATTTTTAAGCTAAAAATCGTAGAGATTAATATTGGAATGATGTTATATGCATTGTATGCAACCCATTTTACATTTTTCTTTAGTTTTCTATAAGATTTCGTGGTTTTATTACAATACAAACAAAATTTTAAAGGTATGCAACTAATTTTACATAAATTTTACATAATTTGTTTGAGTTTGATCTAAAATTAAGTTTTTCTCACATTATTTAGTCTTAACATCCATAAATAAGAATTCAAAATGCATTCCTAATCTTTATTATTCCCACGGAGGGTGTGTGAGTGCATTTCTACCCCTGTACAACTCAAATTATCGTTGGTGATCGCACTGCACTGATTTCGTATGTAATACTCGTATTCCAACCCCTCTTAATTCACACAAGCATTATACATCCCCTTTTTTATCGCACCCTCTTTTAACGGTTTGACCGTTACAACATTCGCAACCCTTCAAACGCAAACCAAAACTTGGTTTCGAAAGGTAAGAAGTATCCAAGGTGAAAAGTGGATAACAATTGAAATATATTTAAAAATAAGTCCTGAATATATAGAAGTATTGTATACTATTGTCATTTAAAGTCTTCGAAGTTTTCGGAATCTGCAAGAAGGAAGTTTCCCATGATAATAATAGAAAAAATGTTTCAACCTTCAAAACAAGCAAAGAAACAAAGAAAAAACACGTCAAAGCTCGTGAGAAAAATTATTTGCCCAAATTACATGACTACAAGAGTAAATTATTATCATTAAAATAGTTTTTTTCTATTTGCGGATTAAAAGGATGTCATATGAAGTTTAAACAGGTTTTTTGCTGATATTTTCGCTGTAAATATTTATATTATTCAAGTAAATATTGTATTCCAATAAATATTTAGTGTGTATGATTGCAGCGCGCAGTATTTTTGAGTAATTGGAGCACACTGCATGATGAACCACATCAACAAACAGAATCTAATCTAGAAATGTTAAATATATAAATAAACCTGCGCAAGTAACATGAGTAATAAAGTTAATAGCGTAATTTTTATTTCTACGCAATGACTATAGTTTTACTCACAGCGAGACGTCGATAACACAAGATATTTCATCATAAAATAAATAAATATTATAAATTACAAGCTTTTGCCCGTAAGACGAAGGTCTCCGGACTGTTTAATAAAAATGTAATTTGTTTTTACTCTCTTGTTTTAGACATAGTATGAGTCAATTCTATCAATAAGATTCGCAATTTTACTTTAAAGAAATTAATTATATAAAGAATAGCTAATAATGCCCTTCAGCGTGCCATCTCGGATTCAACTATTTAACTATAACTATGATTGAATCTCAATGCCAACTTTTATCTTATAGAAAAAAGTTGTTTTTAGGGTTTTCCCGGCAAATATTTGAATTTTTCTCGCTGTAAAAACCATCCTTGGACTTTAACAAACATTTTAAAACAAGAATTGGCCCAATTGGTTTAGGCGTTGTAGAGTTATGCGCTTACCAACAGATTTTGCGATTTATTTTTATATTATAGATTATTTCGTGTGATTTGAGTGGAATTGGTTGAAATTGAACACAAATCGGTAATAATATGTAATTTATTAGAAAGTATGAGGTTAAAAATTGTATCTGTGGATTTATTTGTCGTTTATTTATTGTTTTCGTTTAGTTTTGGCTAGAAATCAATTTAAATGTAAAATTGCAACTTTCACATTGTTTCTTTGGTCAGAAACATGAGAAATATGTGAGTAAAATGCCATATGAGTAGGTATGATATTAAATTCACTAAACGTATTAAATTACTGACCTTGTAACGCTGAGAGTTGAAAGAAAGTTTGAGTTAAATTAAGACTTGCGTTTTCATTTATTTATAAATATAAACACGGTGAGGTAGAGATAATTGTATCTGAAGGATGAAATGAAGAATACTTTTTGCTTATTAAGCCTCAGGGATTTTAATTTAATTTGTCATCGCAAAAAATCGTTCGACTTTGAAACAAATTCGAAATCATTTTATGTGTAAGTTGTCTGGTTAATATGTAAAACTGGTTGCATATGTTATACAATCCTATGCTAATGATTTCAATAATATAAACTTTCAGAGAGAAGTAACTACTTCACAAAGATGAAATAAAGAAGATTTGTTGTTTAATAAGCCTAAGGAATTTTAATTTAACTTTTTTCTTAGCTAAAAATCATTCTACTTTGAAATAAATTCGAAATCTTGTTATGCGTAACTGGTTGCATACGTTATACAATTATGAATGTAAAATGTTTCTCAAAATTAAGATTTTAACATGAATGAACCATATAGCAGCTGTTGTTATATTGTGCGGCGTGTGTTATGTGTGTAAAAGTGAAAATCACTGAAGCACGAAGGTCGTGAACGCGCTGGGAATTGGAGTCGCATGTCGCACACATCCTTCCGGTGCACGGTGGTGCGAATGATCTATTTATCCATCCCCCACACTATATAGTGCCATCACGTGCAAGACACACTTTAGTTTTTCTTTTCACATACTTAAATCACTTTCAATCACAAAATCTAACCTTAAAAACTAAAACTTCTTATTACATTAAAACATAACCTATAATTTGCTCTATTTCCGCTGCTCTACAAGATTTAAAATTTAATTAACTGTTCTATTTCCGTTTCAAAACATTAAATCCAAATATTTGTGTCTTTCTAGCGCAATACTTTCACAAAATTACCTATTACCTATATATTAAACACAAAAGTATACTTAAGTGTGTTTTTAATTCATCACGCGTGCCGGGCGTGTGCACACGCCACACTTTGATGCACTTTGATGAACATCACCATCAACTAAGCCCTATGTTCCATAATATGTAAAATATGAGGGTGAGTTCGTTGCAAACATCGTTAAAACTCAACCGGCACGTTTTTCTGTTGTGTCGCGTGCCCTTATGGTCACCAGCATTCAAACAAACATATTCTGTGAATATTATGCTTATCCAACCACATAACCTATATTAAAACGATCGTTTTACCCATAATCCAAACACGTGCCAATGAAAACATGTAAAGTGTGTTGCATAACACTATTGAATGCAATAAAATCCGTATAAAATGTATTTTTCGATATATTTGAATAAAAATGCGATAAAAACCAGTAAAAATATGAAGATTCATATTAATCGACATTGACATTCAATTTAATCTCCCGTCGATGATAAATTCCGTTAGGTT